ATGCCATACTGGAAACTCAGCTTAGTCAAGCTGTTAGGGGACTTGGTTCTGTTAATTCCACAAATGAAAAAGTTGTCTGCTTGACAAAGGAAAATAATGAGCTTTGCGCAAAACTGCTTGAAGAGCAGCTGTCTGCAAAATGCTCGTATGGACCTGGTTCTCAAAACCCTTGTTGCCTCTTTCTCCAAGTCTCCCTCTTCTAGTGCCCCTTAGAAACCTCTCAGTGCCCAGTTGTCTTCTGTTATGATGTTTTGTGGCTGTTGTTTCTTTTTTTGTTCGTCTTTTTGTTGATGGCATGTTGGGTTTCACCGTTATTGATCCTATTTGCTCAGTCCATTGTTCATATCAATGAAACAACTCTTTTTTTTGCTTGTACAATGTTGTTTTCCTTTGGTTTCTCTTTTCTATCATATTGTGTGCACATATGTGGCATGAGTTGGCTGTGTTAGAATTCTTCATGTTGTTTGCCTGCTTGTGTATTTTTAATGATGTCAAAAGGGGGGAAGTATAGTATAAATTCAATGGAACATGTTTGAAATGGGGGATATGATTAGGGGGAATCAAAGTCAGGGGGAACTTGTGAAGTTCCTATTACCTCATCTGGTTATTTCTGCTCTAAATAAATGATATCAATGCCTAAGTTTGTCATCATCAAAAAGGGCGAAATTGATGGGTTTTCAATTCCTTTGCCTTATGTTTTGATGATATAACAAACTTACTGTCAAGACTCAGACAGGGAACCTAAGACTCTTAGTACACATTTCAAATGAACGAAGTTCAGCTTGAACTCCAGCTAATGTGAATTGCTGCAAATAAAGAGAAAGAGGAACAAGACAGGGACCTGATCCTTCGATGTTCTCTGACAGAAGTATAAGTCAATTATACAGTTGGAAAGCAACTGCAGAAAGTACCTGCCTATAATTGTACACGAGACAGTACAGCAGACAGTGCAGCAGTCACTTCCCATTGGGAAGAGGCGTGTACCAACCATGAACTGATATCATCCTTAGGATGTCTTTGGTAAGTATAACAACATGGTGCAAGGCACAAGATACTTACTTGAGCATTTAGTGATATTCTCTCAAGCATTAAAGAGTTGATCCAACATTGAAGTCACAAGTGCGTCAAGAACAAGAAGACAACTCCACTAAGTATCAGTTCCACAATGAGTCTATGTGTACTCGTAGTTGAGTTATAATATTGTTATTTGTTCTTCATTTTAACTCCTATCCTGCTTTCTTAGAAGCTGTGTTTTAGGAAACCCAAAATCATAAACCTTCTGAGTTTATGTTGTGACTAGAGTTAGTCATAAGATAAAGTCTTTGTAACTAGTGTGTGACAAAGTGGCTTGTGGTAAGTGTATCACAAGTTAGTGAGTTGAAGTCTTTGTAATAGAGTCATTACAAAGTAGCTTGTAATAGTGTGATTGCAAGTTAGTAAATTTGAAAGCCTACAAGTGTAGGTCGTGATTTTTGTCCCCTTGAGCTGCTTTATTAATATTCTCAATGGAAACTCATAGAGGACCAGGTACTCTATAGTGTGGTGGATCCATATAAACTAACAGAGAATTTATAAAATACTATCTTAACCATCAATATATGTTTCTTATAAAACATTATCTGAGCCATAATGAGTTGAGTGACCAAGTATCTCCAATGGTGGGAGCTAGCAGATAACCGATGAATGATCAAGATATAAAGGATTCGTACACAATTGTTACGAAATAGTATTAAATAAATTTAAGGCCTCTTATTAGGATTTGGCTTTAGGCCACCACTTTCATTGAGCCGCCTTTGTGCATAATCATAGTTTTGAGCTAGGTTAAAGCGAACATATCATTCAATTGCATTAATTCGGGGTGGTCTCACTTGACAGTTTAGGAAATGGCGTGGGATAGTTACTTTTTAACATGGTAATTACTTTTTATCCAATATTTTTAATGTTGAGCAAAAATAACCATTACCCTATTAAAATTAATATGAGAAGATGTTTTTACGCTTTCTTCATGAGAGCTGGATTGGGCAAAGTAGTTCCATTGATTTTAACTTTCACATATTACTGGTGTTTCTCTCTATCGGTTAATGCTCTCAATCTCGTTAGTAGTTCTGTATTGCTCTGGATAAGTATTTCTCTTAGCAGAATAAATGTCGTTTTCGATTTACTAATTTTCATTAGTGTAAATATTAAGGACATAGTGTCCTTAATATTTACACTGCACACATTAAGTTAAGGATGTCATGTCCTTAACATTTACACTGATCATATGAAGTTAAGGATATGAAGTCCTAAAGTTTAACAACGAAAAGTGCAAATACAGGACATTTTGTCCTTAATATTTACACAACATTTATGAAGTTAAGGACACTATGTCCTTAATATTTACCAACACTCATAAAGTTAAGGGCACTATGTCCTTAACATTTACATTGGACACATGAAGTTAAGGACACCAAATCCTTAACATTTACACTGTACATATGAAGTTAAGGACATGAGGACATGAGGTCTTAAAGTTTAACAACAGAAGGTACAAATACAAGTTAAGTACATTATATCATTAACATTTACACTGCACACATGAAGTTAAGGACGCCATATCCTTAACATTTACACTGTACATATGAAGTTAAGGACATGATGTCCTAAAGTTTAATTACGGAAAGTGAAAATACAGGATATTTTGTCCTTAATATTTACACAGCATTCATGAAGTTAAGGACACCATGTCCTTAATATTTATACAACATTCATGAAATTAAGGACGTCATGTCCTTAATATTTACACAGCACCCATGTCTAACATAGGGGTATTTTCGTCCGAATGGATAAAAGTTATTAAGCACTGGCTAAAAAGTAAATACATCTTGAATAGTGGATAAAGAATAAAGACATCTTTGAATAGTGGCTAATCGTGCGCTTCCCCCACGGTTTAGCCTGGTCTACCAACTCCCACAATATGTTAGCTATCATACTCTCATAGTTGGAAGAATTCGATATGTATTCAGAAATAGAATATGCTAGGATAGCCTATATTTATAAATTGTGCATATTCACCACAAGCCAATAATTATAAGACGTTACTTATTATACACAAAACAATTTAATAAGCAAAATAACCACTCATACTTGCACTGTTTGACATCATGCCCCTTACTTTATGGGGTTTCATCCTGACGTCTCTCCTCTATCTCTCCATAGGCTTTCTAAGATCCTAAAAAATGCTCAATCTTGGGCAGATTGTCATATTGTGTTAATACATGGATGATCTCGGCAGATAGTCATTTTTAGATCGGCTATTAAACCTTAGCTATATTTATATTGTAATGAAAAAGTAGCCACTGATCCGATTAAATTAACGTGTTTGCCCCCATACTTCAATAATCGGTACTGGAATTTGAAACTTTGACAAGTGGACCCCTAGTAAACTATGTTGGAATTTAAAATTCAGCAATTTTGAACCTTAACTAGTACAAAATCCAAACTCCATGAACAATTACTGGTTTTTGAACTTTTAATAGTGCAAAATCCAAGAAAATTCAGGAACTATTTATGATTTTTGAATTCATATTATAATTCAGCAATTGTTAACCTTTAAATACAAAATTTAGAAATTACTGAATTTTGAGCCTTTGTTAATGCAAAATCCATGAATAATTTCTGATTTTTGAATTCACATTATACTACAGCAATTTTTAACCTTTAAAATATAGAATCTGGGGAAAATTACTAGTGTGAATCTTTATTAGTGCATAATTCAAGAATTATTCATGGTTTTTGATTCGCATTATACTTCAGTAATTTTTAACCTTTAAATACAAAATCTTGAAAAAAATATTTAAAGCTTTACTAATGCAAAATCCAGGAACGATTCATAAGTTTTGAATTCGCAATATACTTGAGTAATTTTTAACCTATAAATACAAAATCCAAGAAAATTATTTATTTTTGAACCTTTACCGGTGCAAAATCCAGAAAAATTCAGGTACGATTCTTGATTTTTAAATTCGCATTATACATCAACAATTAAGAGCTACTGGTTCAGGTCATTTAAACTTCAGGATCCATTACTGAATTTTGAACTTATAAATATTCAAAGTCCAGTAACTGTTTTTAGAGTTGTTCTGTATTTTAGATAGGGGTATTTTTGTCCTGACTTATATTCTCGTATTAATAAGTGGCTACTTTGTCACTACAATTTAAAATTGAGAAAATTTTCATAAATCACTATTGTGTACAGCCAAGTAACTCTAGTTTGCTTAATTACTATTCGTAGCTACCGTTAAATTCGTTACCAGCCTATATCACTTGTATTCAAACGTGCAATGAGTACAGATTGTGTCAACTATATTCGTTTATATTCGTTCGCTCAATAAATATAACTTGCATCAATTGTATTTATTTGCGCAAATGTATTTATTCGCTCAATAAATACAACATGTATCAACTGTAACCAAGGCAAAATACAAGTGTATAGAAAGGATACAGCCTATATCGATTATATACAAGGGTGTCTGCAAATTATACAACTTGTATCGATTATATTCGTTCACGCAATGAATACAACCAAGGCAAAATATAGAAATACAGGAAAATAAAATGCTCTTATTGAGAGTCAAACTCAAGAACTCCGGTAACTAAGTGCGCTCTAACCAACTGTGCTATTAGAGCTTGTTACTTTTTTGTTTTAATTCAAAATAATTAATCTCTTGTTTTAGGGATTTGCTATAAAACTCAAATATAGCAGCGAATGATAAATTTGCTGAAAGTGTAGCTATGAATAATACATACAATATATGTGTTTGATGTGTCGCGTAATTTTCCCGTTAAAATATGGCTAAGCTCTAATAGCCGGCCTAAAAAGTGGCCAACTACTTAATACATGCTTCATTGGGCTAGGCCCAATAAAGAACTAGAAGGCCTATTGTGAAAATTTAAAGAGGGCAATCAGGTAAATGCACAATATTCTGATTATTGGTATGATTAAACAAAGGCCAGAAATAATGAGACTTGTCTCTCTCTCCATCTGAAAAAATATTTGTTTCGCTCTCCATTTGAGTCCACTCCTCAAGAAGAAGAAGAGAAGAAACTTTGGCAACGTTTGGATAAACTGAAAAATGGCCTCTGCTTGGCAGATTTGTTCTCAGTACTACCACAATAGAATTGCTCTTTGCTCTATATCTCCTACTCTTCCAATTTTTAGAAAACCAAACAGGGTACTGAATTCAGCTACCTCAAATACCAAGATCAAGTTTAAAGTGAGGGCTCTAAAAGAGAAAACAGAGGAAATTAACTCTGCCGAGGAAATCACTAAGAAATATGGTCTTGAAGTTGGTCTTTGGAAGGTAATTCTTTTTCTTCTTCATTTTCTTTCCTTTTTATTTTCCCTTTTCTTGTTTTAGTTTTGTGGGTATGTTTTAGATTTTTTTAAACCAGAATTGGGAAGTGAGGAAACAAAAAAGAATTATTGCATCTCGATCTGCGCGGGTCCGTGGAGGGACAGGACCACAAAAGTTAGTTTTAACTGCATTTCTACCGGAGGCTATTTGCAGGGCTCGATTCGGTGACCTCCTAATTATACGACAGCAACTTTACTAGTTGGGAAAATCATGTTTAAAAGAATATTAATTACAAAAAAAAATGTATATTACAAGAAATTGTACTTGTTTGTTGGAAAAAACTAAGAAAAATTGGTAAAGTTCCTAACATTCATTTACGGTTCTATATTTTATTCTTTCCCTGCCCAGAACTCCTTTCAAAAGATTTTTTTTAAGGAAATATTTTAGTTTATTAAAGTAGATTACAGCATTGTATTTGAAAATAATATTGGTAGATGATTGGTTAAGAGTATGTAAGCAATAAAGCTTTTTGTGATTTAAACTTGCTTGCAGATATTTAGCTCAAAAGAGGAAGGAGAAGAGGAAAACAAGGAAAAGAAATCGAAAGGGGATCAAGCTAAAGAGCTTTTGGCAAAATATGGAGGAGCTTATTTAGCAACCTCCATTACTCTCTCCTTGATATCATTTACTCTTTGTTATGCTCTCATTAATGCTGGTGTTGATGTTCAATCCTTGCTACAGAAGGTACACTTTTCCAAAACTCAATAGTCTCTTTGGGATTAGATTTTGTCCGAAGGAATTAGTAGAAAAAGGAAAGGAATGGAAATAAACATAATGTATTTATGCACCCATGGGTGTGGCTTAACGGCCTATGAAACTGGAACAAAAACTATCACAGACTAGGATTTTGAATACCAGTAGGGGCAAAAAATAGGTGATTCCTTTCCATCTAAGTATTGGTGAGCAGAGTTAGTAGGTATTGTCGAGGGGACACATGGACCCTATGAAGCGTAGGTTGGCCCGAAAAGTTATTATAAAAATTTATAGTCCCTCCTTTCTAATGGATGTAGTAGAGTTTGATTAAGCACGGAGTTTAAGAAAGTCTTTTGAAATTTGTAGTCTTGCCATGACATTTATGTAGCTATAGAAGTACATAAAATGGTAAATTTAAGGTTATATTGTTTTCAAATATAGAAATATGTCATTACGATTGACTCAAGAAATATTGCCACGTAAAATGGAACATATGAAGTATAATATGTTACTTTATGACCTTATAATTGCAGACAAGTCTCTATTTTTGGGGATCATTTTAACTATGGGAACTCATATATATTTTGCAGGTGGGAATTTCCACAGATGAGACTGGGGAGAAGGTGGGAACTTTTGCATTGGCCTATGCTGCTCACAAAGCTGCATCACCTATTAGATTTCCACCTACTGTTGCTCTAACACCAATTGTTGCTAGTTGGATTGGGAAAAAAGCTGATAAAGAGTAGACTAGGTTCATATTGGACACTCTTACATAATGTAATGTGGCCACAATTTTGCTGCAGATGTAATATATGTTAATAAATAATACAGGTTACCTTACTGGTAGCTCATTGTTCTTTCCTACCTATGGCAACCCTGTTGATAAATGCAAAACTTAGCACAGTATATAACCAGAGATATAGATTTTCACCAATATTCTGTTGTTCTTCTCAATTTTCCAGCTGCTTAGGAAAAGATCAACCTTGTAGAGATCAACATTTACAGCTAAAACATGCTGAAAAAACACGTATAATAATACTTGTATAAGAGCCCATTGTGCATCCAATTTGAGAACTTGGATGCTAGAAAAACTAACTCCAGACATGTTGCAATGTAAAAGACTGCAGCAACTAAAAGATAAAACCACTCCAAGTAGAAGAATAATCTAAGTCAATACATTACAATCCACCTAATTGTACTGTTAGAGCTAAGAAGAAAGCCATTAGATGATAATACACAAGCCAAGATTTGTACAGCTTAACCTACTGAGTATTGTCATTACAAGTCAATCTAAGTGCATCAACTATACAATCAACAGCCGGCGTGAGTCTTGCAATTTCTTGAGCCTCGAATGAAAAAGCTCCTGGTTGCACTTGTTCTTTCCTATAAGAGTTCAAATGGCTGTACAGAGGATTTAATCTAATTGAGAAGCTCTTATTCGAACTAGAACCAGCATCATCTTGCTGATGAAGCATTCATCTTTGAGAAAACTAAGCCAGGGCATCCACATAAACACCAACAAGTACCATTTAGCACCCGGTAGTATTAGCTGCAGAAGGTACTTCAGTTGTATTGGTTGGTGGAGTTTCGGATCGTGGCGTACTGACATTAGCGATTGAGAAATCCTCTTGTATTACATCCAACTCGTTCCAATCAATAGCAGCTATTTCTGAGTTATGGATATTCAAAGAAGTAAATTCAATAATATCAAGATAAGCAGAAAACAGAAATCAGTAGGATACATTCTGTCCTCCACATGTCAGTGATGCTAACATCAGCGTCTGACAAAAGCCAGTAATCTGCTTCATTCTGTAAGATGGAAAACAGTTAGAAACTGAAAATCATAGTGATATAAATCCTGAATTTTATCATAATAAATAAGATTGTCTCTGAAACATCTCTTCTTAGGGGAAGGCAAATAGCAAATGTTTTACGGGTCATGTTTTCCTACTTCTGCTTGGCATTCAATAACACTGCATTTATGTAATGCTCATAAACGGGAGGTTGCAAAATTAGGAGTTTACAATAATGTAATGCTCGTAAAGAATAACTTACCTCAACATCTGGAACAATCTTCATGATTCCAGTCATGAAGTCTTGTGAAGTACCTACGTCAGAGCACACGTTTTGATTTTCTTTTTCATCCATCCCAATATCAACTTCTCTGTTCTCCTCAGCAGCCAATGTCGCAGTTGCATTCTCATTCAAACCAGATGTTGAAGGCACGCTTGGCGGTGCCTCAACTGCATTTATCTCTTCAAACTTCTCCTCAAATTGACTAAATCAACACAATGCAAGTTTCTATAAAGTTAGAAATAGTTATCCATAGAAAATGTTGAAAGCTTATAAACATCCCTCCCCTTCTCTCTGGCCCGGATTCATATTTGGGTTTCTTTGATCAGTCTATTGTGTTAAGAAGCAGCAAAAGTACCTGACAAGGTAAACATCTATGGGGCCCATGGTGCTCCGTAATGCTATTCTGTATCTTCTTTGTGGATAATCAACAGCCTGCTAGAGGCAAGAAAGACATGCTAAGATATGTGGAAGCGCGAAGCAGTTATATAATGGTAGACCTGCTAGGAAATAGGAAAATTTTGCTGTATCTAAAGAGAGAACAATTACGTCATCAGGATCTGGGACTTCTAAAGTAGTGCCATGTGGAGCTTTGATTGCTATCAATGTTTTATTCTGATCAAAGCAATCAATTTACAGCAGAGCATCAGTCTATTAATGAACGCTGGATTCAGAAAGAAAAGGAATGGAAAAGCGGAAAGAAGAGTTAAAATATACCTGGAAACAAGGTAAGCTCTTGATATCATCTTCAGTGACAAAAAGCCATCTTGTTTTATAGAAAATTTATGGATGACAGAAGTTAAGAAAGAAGAGGAAAAAGGTAAGCAGAAAAATCTATGGAAACGCGCATGAGCAGAACTTTGTGCAGATGTTACTCATAGATGCTACCTTTGATTATCTTCATCTTCACTCAGGTCCCTCAATCGTTCCTGCGTTTCTCTAAAAGAAGCCAACAAGACCACAATATCAGCTCAGAAATGAAGCATAGCAATGATGGAGTTTTGTATTACAGGCAAAGAAGCTACCGTATCTGGTCATCTAATCTACGCTCTTCAATCGTCAAATTTTCCACATCTCCCTGCAAGGGTAGTACAAACTACCAATAAGTGCAGACCATGACACAAGAAGTATCCATATTTTTATCATTCCAATTTCATAGATATTCAATATTTAAACTGATACTAGCAGTAGCAGGTGAATATAAGTTAAATAACGTGAGCATTCTTTAGGGAAGCAGATACAAGTTACAATTAAGACCACTAGAATGCTTAAAAGAGTCGCTTTGCGAAAACTATTTCCACTATATTTTGAAGAGACTCGGGGATATTCTTATGAGTATGATCCCCTTTGCTCCGGCTACTTCACTTTAGACTGACAAATGTGACAAAAAAAATTAAAAAAATACATCAGCGGTCGGGGTAATGTTCCTCACCTGTAAACTTGCAATACTCTCATCAGCTTCTCCTGGTTTTGAGACATCTAGACCCCTACATAATAATGCAAATGATATTTTAACATTGTTTCCTCGAATGATCTCGAGTCACATAAACATCAATGATGAACTACTAAGCAGTTTATTTGAATTGGATGTGTATCTCTCCCCATACTTCCACTGAATCCTGTTTTTGAGTTTCTTTTCTATCAGACCAATGCCTTCCAGGACATTTGTGATATCATATATACGCCTTTTCTGAACCTGTTAGAAGAAATAAAACACTTAATCTGGTAAAAGACCTCATGTCACCGGCATAATAGCATCAATGTGAAGATACCTCTAATGTATCAGCAGCTTTATTCAGATCAAGCATACCGTCTTCTGCATGTTTGATTAGATTGATGAACTTCTTTGTTAAAAGACCTGAATAATAATTAAGAGATATTGTCATAAGTACAGTTTTACTACATAATTCTTCTGTATAATAGGCAATCGTGGTGAACTATCCTATAAATCGCAACAGTCTACGCACTTTAGAACAACAATCCAGACATTAGAGAAATAACAGATTGAAAGACAAAGTAGTAATTATGCCATTGAAGTTTTAATTTACCCAGGGAGCTATCATATCGACAAGGACCAACTGGGGTAACATTGCCTGAAGGGGATCCTGCAAATTCAATAACCAAAAGTTAGAACTAGTAATTTTCTGCTTTTATAGATAAGGTTGGTCTCAGCAAAGTGAACAAGAAAGATAAGGATTGTGAGAGAGAAGGGAAGGGGGGACAGCAATTATAAGGTACTGGCTTACGGAAGGGAGTAAGATTACTATACTGAATGCTCCTTGGAAAGTAAAATAAGTACATAAACATTTCAAAGAAAAACTTTTACATCGAAAATCCTCACCAACATTGGGTGCAACAGCTTGAGAAGAAGATCTGGCTTTCGAAGTCTTGGGAATTTTCTGTGTGTTTCCAGCTTTTCCAGACATTGGTGTCTGCACAGGACTGTTTACATTAGCATATTCAGAAACTGGGTTCTGGTCACCAACCCCCTGTCCATAATTTGCTGCCGCACTCTTCCGCTTCAGTGGCTGAATAAGACAATGAGTCCCCAAGTTCTATCAGTAATTTATTTAAAGGATTTACTACAAATCGTGTCTGAATAAGAAATTGATATATAAATATAAACTTGTGGATTGCAATCATTTCCATTGAGTCAACTATGAAGGCAGAAAACTAGAATGAAAAGTCTGTATATTTGATGAGCCTCCAATGGAGTTTATATACAAAGGAAGTAACCAATTGTGCTAAGCTAACTCCTAGAAGGTAGGAAAATATAACCAGTACAAAAAATAAATTAACTGTAAAAGCTAAAATCCAGTGGATACTAAACTATAGCCTAAAGTTACTGAACAAAGACCCATTCAAACCTAACAGCAGTAGTACATGCGCTATTACGCCCCCTCAAGTTAGGCTTGAAGATACAATAGAAGCATGCGTTGGAAGGTCGGCTTGGACAATGGTTTGGTGAGTGGATTCGCAAGTTGATCAGCAGAGTGGATATGCGATATGCGGACTTGGTTACGAACAAAGTGAAGATCAACCTCAAGGTGCTTCATTTTTGTATGATGTACTGGATTCTCAGCAATGTAAGTGACCCCAAGGTTATCACCAAGTATTGTAGGAGCAACAGAGAGCGTCACATGAAGATCTTTGAGCAAGTGTGATCCAGTTTGTTTCAGACAAGGCAGAAGCAACGGCACGATACTCTGCCTCAGTGGAGGAGCGAGAGCCAGTAGGTTGCTTACGAGAACACCAGGAGATAGGCGTCGTGCCTAGATAAACAATATAACCAGAGATGGAGCGGCGATCATTGATATCACCTGCCCAATCGGCATCAGCATATGTATACAGAGCCGTTGAAGGTTGTGGGGAATTACGAATACCATGCTGGGATGTTTCTTTAAGATACCGAAGGATCCGTTTAACTGCCTTCCAGTGAATCACGGAAGGAGAGGTGTTGAACTGAGTTAGCTTGTTTACCGAATAGGTGATGTCAGGTCGGGTAAACGAAAGGTACTGAAGCTTACCAAGCACAGATCTGTACTCTTTGCCATCAGTTTTGGGTGCTCCGTCATCAAGCAGTAGTTTCGTGGACGTGCTCACGGGTGACTGAACACCTTTGCAGTCTTGCATCTGAGTGTCATGTTACACCTCCTGTATATACTTAANAGGGAAAAAAAGAGAGGATCTTGGATAGTTTACTCTTAGAGTGTTGTTTTGGCTCTGAGACCATATGAAGGCAGAAAACTAGAATGAAAAGTCTGTATATTTGATGAGCCTCCAATGGAGTTTATATACAAAGGAAGTAACCAATTGTGCTAAGCTAACTCCTAGAAGGTAGGAAAATATAACCAGTACAAAAAATAAATTAACTGTAAAAGCTAAAATCCAGTGGATACTAAACTGTAGCCTAAAGTTACTGAACAAAGACCCATTCAAACCTAACAGCAGTAATACATGCGTTATTATCAACATAGGCTAGCACTGATTTTGCGATTTATATTAACAAGGATTTTGCATAAAAAATGGAAGATACTAAGTGCAAATTATTAACAGTTCAAATAATATGTGAAAACTTGTCACAACGCACTAGTTATTAGGTGAGTCCTACTTAGATCTTTTAATTTTTATATTGGCTTGAGGAGAAAAAAATTAAACCATAGTTAAAGACTGACTGATGTTCTGAAGCATTATCCGGATTGTAGTGACACGTAAATGACAAAAAGAAGCTTCACAGAGAATAAAAAGGAGAAGAACTTACTCAGATATTATTCTTATGTTAACCTAGAAAACTAAGCTTAAGCTAGAGGAACTCTCGTTCCTAAAACTTTAGTCCTTATAACTCAAGCAAAACCATGCTTGTGAACCATCTTGAAAGTCTCTAAGGCACACTCAATTTATCAACAGAAATACGGAGGAAAAGGGGAAAGGAAACACAATTCCTAGTTAATATATACAAACACATTAGGCAATCTTGGACCTTGAAATTTCACCTGCAACTACTCAAATGTGATTTAGATCTTGACCGCCAAAACAATATGAACTTGTTTCTTCAACCTTCGTCTAACTGATCTATTTTTTCCTACATCATTATTGTTTTGAGCTAGATGAATCCTGTGATGTGCTTTTTTCTTTTACACTTTCATACTTTAAACAGAATGGAGCTGCAATTAAGATGATAAGAGGGCCAAATGAATATTTGGTGCGTAGTGTCTGCAAGCACAAGAAAAGTACAACCTTTGGCATGGATTATTCATCAAACTCTATGGAAGTACAGCATCCATAAAATCAAAAGACAAACTAAATGAGGAAACACAAAGATGAGAACGTCACTGCTGAAATTGCAAAACCTCTAATCGAGCCAAGAAAGATTACAGCTTTCATAGTTTAAAAAAGCAAAAATAAATAAATTCATCAAGCACCTTCAACCCTATTAAACTTAAGCAACACAAACCACACTTTGTTTTTCCAATTGGAAAACGCAAATTGAGGTCAATAAAACTAGTTTGACCACGTGATATCCAAAATTCAACAGCAGATTTTACATAACCAGAACCTTTTGATCATTTACACCACAAAAATATACACAGTATAGCTTTAGGGGTCGTTTGGTATCATGGATAAGCAAAAATAATATTGGGATAAAAATTTAGTACCACCTTATCCCTTGCTTGGTTACTAATCCAGGATTAAAAATAGTATCGGGATAACTTATAACTGCCAGAGGTGGAATAGTAATCCCAGGATAAGTAAAATTAACATTAACAATCTCAGGATTAATACAACATACCAAACAGTCAATCCCTGCATAACTAATCCCATGCTAACTTGTCTTCAAACCAAACGACACCTTAAAGCAAGATCTCCAGTCAAACCCACTTCAATACTTCGCTTAAACAGCACAAAACCTCAACTTTCCAGCCAAAAATCTTAACGAGTGATCAATAAAGCTACTTTAAACATTTAATACCCAAAATTCAACAGCAAATTTTACACCAAAGGTGTTCATTTATCCCATATAAACACCTATCATATTACATCATTAAGGCACTGAAGACTTCACTTGAACAACACAGACCCTCAAATTTCCAGCCAAAAATCTTAACAAGCGATCAATAAAGCTATCCTTAACCATTTAATACCCAAAATTTAACAGCAAATTTAACACCAAGACTAATCATTTTATCCTATATAACCACCTATTATATGACATCATTAAGGCACTAAAGACTTCACTTAAACAACACAGAACCTCAAATTTCCAGCCAAAAATCTTAACGAGAGCAATCAATAAAGCTATCTTTAATCATTTAATACACAAAATTCAATAGCAGAATTTGCACAAAACTGTTCATTCATCACATTTAAACCACCATATAACATCAGTAAGGCACTAAAGAATCAGAAAGAAAGCTCACAGGAGTCTTGACAACAATTCCTACAGGAGGTTCTTGAGAAGAAAAATGAACCGGGTCTGTGGAAAACTGGTGGTAATCACCAAAAGCCGGTTTAATAGAAGAGAACTGAAGCTGACGCTTCAAAGTTTGTTGTTGCTGCTGCTGCTGTTGGGGTTGCATGATCTGCTAAGTTCTTGATTTTTAAATAACCACAGCTGAGAAAAATCCTAAAAATTCAATCTTTCAAAAAATTTAGTAACAAAAGTAGAGGAAAATTTGATGGAACTGAAAACCTTTTTTGGTTTTTGAGTTTAAAAATGCTACAAATTCAATCTTTTTCATTTTTTGGTGGAAATAAGGGAGGAAAAATTGATGGAATTGAAAACCCTATTTTGGTTGTTGAGGTTTTGGGTTGTGGTGGGGGGTAGGGAGTGGGAAAAGATGGAATTGGAGGAGAGGGAAGGAAAGGAATAGGAGAAGAAAATGAGATCTGATATTGGGAGAGGGAATTTAAAAAGCTGGAAGAGAGAGAGAAAGGGGAGAAAACGAGGGAAAGAAAAATGAAGGAGAGAGGAAGAAGAAGAAGAAAGGAAGGAAGAAACAAAAGAGAGGAGGGAATTTGGTTCGGCTATATGTGTGGATTGTGGAGGGAAGGCGCAGCTATTTGTAAATATAGTACTCATTAAGAAATTAACTAGTATAGGTACCCGCACCCTCAATTTCAAGATTTTGCTTGTTATAAAATAATTTTGTAAAGCTTATACGAGAGAATGCTAGCATATTTGGCACACTGATATTTTATAATAACTAGCTTTAGAATGCGCGTGTTATCCATATTAATGAATATAAAATTATACAAAAATTATCAAACTATGTGATGAGTTATAAAATAAGAAAAAAAATTAAAACGTACAAGCTTAATAAAGACTATTAATCATTTTTAGCCAACTTAATAAAGAAAAAAATTATATCACTCAAAAGTATTCTAATGCCTTTACATAACTTCGATATATGAGTTGTGCATTTGTTTTAATAGCTCAAATAGAGAATAATATGTTGACTTGTATTCAAGTATCATGTAAAATATACTATGTTCTCATAGCCTTAAAGAAATAAATTCTATTTGCTCAAAGTACCTAATATAAATTTCATGTTAATCTTATTGAATTCAATTTGAAAAATGCGAAAAATAATAAGATACTCCATATATTGTTAGATATAATTAATATATAAAGAATTTTATTAGATTAGTAGTACTAAAATCCAACAAAATTTATTTTTAGAAAGAAATAAATGATATAATTTAGTCATTATATCATTATGATATAAGTTAAATTTGCTTAAACATTATTTATATTGTTAATGTACTCAAAATAAGTTAAATTATCTACGTTGTTAGAGTATTATTTAGCTGCAAAATTCTAATGTAGGATATAGTGTTGGAGTACAAACCCATAATCAAACATTAGTAAACAACTATTAAATAGAAAATTATAATTTGAAATTTTAACCAATATAAAAAATATGTATGTACACTTTGTTTCGGTTATATAAACTAAATTTATTAAACGTGTATGTTTTTGCATGTCACACTTATAAAAGTTCCCAAATGTTTTTTAGATATTTCAATATAGTTAGTAATCTTCCTTAAATATGTAGTATACGCTTGCAAAATTTATTTTTTTAAATCCTAAATATTAGGAGCTTTTACATTAATTATATAAGGAAATATATAATAACAATAATTTTAGTTGATTTAAAATCTTAAATTTTAGGAAAAATTATCAAATGACAATTTTGTCTAGTATGAACTTTATTTTTTAAGGGTGTAAAAGGCGAACGACATTTCGCTAAGGGCCTTCGTGCTTTTAATATAATATAGATTATACTTATAAAAGACAAAACAATATAAATGCTTAGTTCATTGTCTAAATTTGTTAACCATAATTTTTACCATTATTTAATTAGTTACTATATTTATTTTACAAATCAATCAAAATCATAAATATACTCAAACAATCCCTATCATCCTCTTGTATGCATTTTTACTTATTTTTTTATTTAGTGTTTTACCTATAATTCAAAAATAATAATTTTGAACTACTTTTATTTNAAAATCATAAATATACTCAAACAATCCCTATCATCCTCTTGTATGCATTTTTTTACTATAATATTTTTACTTAATTTTTTATTTAGTGTTTTACCTATAATTCAAAAATAATAATTTTGAACTACTTTTATTTTGTTTTCAATATGATATATTAAATTTTAGTTTTAACTATTGATATAATCTACATATGAATTTAAATTATAGTTATTTTTATCCAATATCTATTAAAACTTCAGTTAGACGGTCTTATCTGTACAATATGTTTTTCTGAAATTCAAAGACTTTCTCATATCAAATTCGAGGGGCAAGTGCACAGATAACCATTCTTAGGGATGCTATTTAAGGATTAGTTAGTACTTATTTTGTCATGAAATTTTAAACTAAAAAACTTAATTTCAGGACAAGTCAGGATATTTTTGTCTTGAAAAATTAAACTGAAAAACTGAAATAGAATGCACTGGCTAATTTCTAAATAGCAGCCCTTCAAAGTGGCTACTTGGTGTCATTTCTACCAAATTCAAATATGCTTATTCTTGTTCCATATTTTTTGTTGTGATTGCATGTTTAAGTACTTTATTGTTTATTAGTTTTTCACTTATGTTCATGCCTATCTCTCCTTTTTAAATATAATATAAATAAATATATTTACTTCTTAAATCTAGATTATTTTGATACTCTTATTTTATTACTCAAAATTGTTTCATTATTAAAATTTATAAAATAAATATTATTTCAACCGCTAGAAATAATGTAAATCAACGGAGATTTCAACCGCTATACTCTTATTCATTACTTGATTGCTTGAACTTTTTGTAACTTACAAACAGAAATTTGATTTACTATTATTCCATAAATTATATGGATATTTTAAAATATTATATTAAAATCATATACAAAATAAAATTTTCCTTCTAACTTTCCAATAATATGACCCACGATCTTATAAAATATTTGATAGATTATTTTTCATTTTAGCCTCTTAACACATTTGTATACTCACATTTTTATATTAAACTATCTTGGGATTCCTAAAATTGAATAATCAAATGGGTTAATAGAAAATATTAATATAGAAAAGAAATTTTGCTCACGCATTTTATTTGTGCCAACACCATTACAATATATTCAACAATAGATAGAGTTTCAATGGGCTGGAGAAATCTTCTGGTACAACAAAGAATAAAATAAAGAGCATAGTTCCTTTCTAGTGTCTCGTCCAGAAAATAGCATTAATAATCAATGTGCCATCTTTTTACGAAATTCGAATACAAAAAGAATTTAAAATTAAATAGATGAAGAGTAAAATTAAAGAGCTTATTTCTTCTAATTATTTGTTAGCATATTCTAAATATAAAATGGGAAAATGGCTATGCTGACAATCATCAACAAATTAAGTGATACCATAATGATGTACTATTTGTACATAAACTTCCAAAGCTAATTTGAGTTTTCTAGTCGTTGAATAATTATACAGTTACTAATCATTAGTTTAAACCAAGTTGATAGGGAAAAAAAATGAAAAAAACAACCATAGCATGTATTGATATTTCAAATGAACTAAATAAAGAACATAAAGAACTAAATTAATAACACCGCAAGAAATCAAAGATACATTGGAGAAGTCAGGGTATGTTTTCGCAAATAATTGATTCTCTAAAGATGGTTGTAAATGCAATTTTCCATAAGCTATATTCAAGTAAGTCATAGCCCGGAAATATCATCAATATGGAAAAAAATAAGCAAGAAAATACAAAATTACCATTAATTATAGAAGTGTTCCTAATTGTTCCATGTTGCGTCATCCACGCATCAAGCTAAACTCCTTCATATATAATGTCACAGTTACAAATATGAAACAATTGGCAGAGAATGAATATGAAATAATTGGCAGAGCATGAATATGGTCTTCCCTAATTCTACATATTAAAAGGAAGAGCACAAAATAGAAAAAACTGTCACAAAATAGGAAAAAACCGTAGGAAACCGTCATTCTTGGAACACAACAGTTGACAAAAGTTATTTCTTTTAGTTGGTAAACATTTAAAAACCAATAATTAACAAAAAAAGATAATAAAATAATAATAAATAAGCAATCAAAAAGGGAAAAAATAACTGATTTTGAATTTGAATTTAAAAATAAATAAATAACTTATTATAACTATTCTAACTAATTTTATCCTAAAACTATCACATGTCTTTTTCCTATGTTGCCACTTGTCATAATTCTAGGCTAGACTTTCTTCCTTTTAATAATATATATATATAAATGAATTTAGCAGTACTGTGTTATTACAATATTATTATTATATCTTATACGATGATAGTTTAATGATTTGTTGTTGCTTTTGTTTTTAATGCATTTTTCATGAGAGGGATCAAGGAAATAAATAAATATGTATATGTAATGATTCTAACATAATTTTATTTTTAGAACAGAAATATCCACACTAAGTTATTTTGCAGTTATTGTCATGTGACCAGTAAGTCGCAGATTCGAGCCGTGGAATAGCCTCTTGCAGAAATACAGGGTAAGGTTGCGAACAATAGACCCTTGTGGCCTCGTTCTCTCCAGATCCCGCACATAGCGGGAGTTTAGTGCACTGAGCTGCCCCTGCCACACTAAGTTATTTTGCATAAGCTAGTGTCATACGCTTGCAATCATCCCAAAATACTTGTAAGCTTCTAACTATTTTTTCAAAAAATATGTTTAATTAATTGTTTAGATCAAGTTACTTAAATACGATAACAAATGTTGTTGCAATCCTGTATGAATAGTATATATTAATTCAGTGTACAAATTAATATTTTTTTACTTAGATAAGACTTGAGACAACTTGTTAAATTTTGTTTTTTATACATCTTAAACATAAAACTGACAATTATTACTGTAAGCAATTTGATTTTTATCTTTTGAACTTGTAGTTCTAATTTTTTAGTTATTTTGAAGTTGGAAAAGAAAGTAAAAAACTTATACCACGGTTGGAAAAAGAAAATACGAATGGTTATAAGGTAAAAGGAGGAGGAAATTAAATGGGGGGATTGGCGCCTAACACACACAGAAGAGGAC